TTATTTTTTCTTTTTTGAAAATTTATTTTCTGATGTTATTCTTTAATATTTATATTTATTATTTATATTTATTTGAATATATTCTCGATTCGTTTATGTTATTTTATCTTCATTTCTTATGTTGTTATATATATTTGATACGTTATATAAATTGAATTTTATCTTTATTTTTATTATTTTTATTATATTCGATTTCATATTCATGATTATTCATTCTTTAAATTATTTCATTATTATTTAAAATATAAAATGTCAAACACTGATGAAAGTAGTAATAGAAGATGTATTACTAGAATAAACACGGAAGTAATCCCTATCTTCAGATATTCAGCATCAGTTGTAAATTGGAAAATAACTGACCTAGACAAAATTGATTTGGAGATAAGAAAATATTTAAGAAAGGCAAAATACATTGGTGAAACTCCAAAGATAGGTTGTATGTCCCTCTAGAAGAAATGGGTGAATGATTAATAAATATAAGGGACGAATATGTTAATGAAATAATTAGAACAATAATGTACTACTGTACCAGAGAAAGTGAAATTGGAAATAACATATTAGATAGATGGTACAGTAAGAAGGGAATATGGAATAGAATTAAAAAACATTAATTCATAAAATCAATGAAACAAAAATAGAAGAAATAATAAATGAAGGGATAGAAAAGAAAAAAGAAAAAGAAGTAGTAGTAGAAATAAAAAATTAATGACCGACAAATACATCAAAAAATGGAAGTGTTATCAAATTAGTGGATATTTTAGACGATGATTTGAGTCAAAAGGAGTAGATAAAACTACTACAGTGAAAGCATGGAAGTCAATCAATATTAAAAAGAATGCATTTCTCCAATTAACTAAAATGCAAGATGGAGCAATATTTTGTGGGTATAGAAAATCAAAAATAATGAAAAATGAAAGATTGAAATACTCAACACTTTGTAAAGACAAGATAGCAACAGTACAACACATTCTACTATCTTGTATTTATCATAAAAAATCACAAATAGAAAAACATGACAATTTAGGCATAATAATATTGGAGGGATTAATAAGAAAATATACATGAAATAAACAATATAAAAACCCCCATATGAAACAATATTCAAATATAAAGACATCACTATGACATGAACAAACAAATAATGCATAAAAGTGAATGACAATACCACAAAATACCAGATATATATGTATTAGATAAAAAGAATAAAACTGGTCTATTATTTGATATGACTAATGTTGAATATCACAATATTAATTGAGTGTATTTGAAGAATAGAAATAAGTATAATGAATTAAAGAATAGGCTAATGAAAATAGAGAAAATAAAAGATGTCAAAACAATTCCAGTAGTAATTTCAATAAATGGATTAATAAATAAAGAAAGTAATAGATTAATTAAAGAAATAAAAATTGAAATTGACATCATTAAAGAAGCTAAAAACCCAGTAATTACAAACATGAAGTATGTCATTGAATACTGCTTCTATCATAATCAAATAAACTCTATATTGATAATATAAGAATGAGTATTAATTGAATTATTTCCCCTAAGCTAGGAATAATAAAGAAACTAGTTCTAATAATACTTATTTAATTAAATTTTATTATTAATATTAAATAAACATTCTGAATAAGAAGGAGTAATAAATGAAAAAGTTATTCCGTTTATTTTTTTCATTGCAAAACAAATATAATAAAAATAATATAATAAATAATAACAAAAAAGAAAAAACAAAATTTTATATTTACTTCAAAAATTAAATTTATAGAATTATAATACATTTACTATTTATATTTACTATATTCTACTTCACACCATATATTACTTCCACAATTTATAATTAATAAAACTACTAGAAAAAAATAATAAAAAAATAAATAACTGAAAATTAGTATTGGTACAACGAAATGGTACTTTCACAACTTGGGTCAAGTCTTGTGACAGCATTACGTAAAATGACTTCATCTACTGTTGTAGATGAAGAAGTTATTAATACGTTATTAAAAGAGATTGAAACGTCATTATTAGGGGAAGATGTCAATCCAATCTTTATTAGACAAATGGTAAATAACATAAAAAAGAAAATTAATTCAGAAGATATTCCTGATGGAATTGACAAAAGAAAGTTAATAAAAGATTCTGTTTTTGAAGAACTTATCAATTTAGTTGATCCAAAAACTGAAGCATTTAAACCTAAGAAAGGAAAAACATGTGTATTAATGATGGTTGGTTTACAAGGAGCAGGTAAAACTACTACTATTACAAAACTTGCGTTGTATTATAAAAATCGAGGATATAAACCAGCTGTCGTTGGAGCAGATACATTTAGAGCAGGAGCATATGAACAATTACAAATGAATGCTAAACGAGCAGGAGTACCATTTTTTGGAATAAAAGAAGAAAGTGATCCAGTAAAAGTTGCTAGTGAAGGAGTTCGTACCTTTAGAAAGGAAAAAAATGATATAATTCTTGTTGATACATCAGGTAGACATAAACAAGATAAAGAGTTATTTAAAGAAATGCAAAGTGTTCGTGATGCAATTAAACCAGATTCAATTATTTTTGTAATGGATGGAGCTATTGGACAAGCAGCATTTGGACAAGCAAAAGCATTTAAAGATGCAGTTGA